AGATATACAGACCAGATCTCTGAGGAGCTCGGTGGAGCCCTTCTCGGCAACAGGCCACGCCCCCAGGAAGCCCTCTGCCAGATATTTCTTATATTCCAAGGTGTGGAGCAAGGAGCAATTCTAAAATGTATTATTGTTTCAAACTTGAAATAATACTATATGTTATTTCAGTATATATGGTGGGGCACTTTAGAAAATATGTGTGCTATAGTGGAATTACAATAGCATACTTACAGTTGTTGAAAATACTAATTATAAGTAGAAATATAAAAAACTCATATCATGCTTTAAAGCTAAAAATCTGCCTCCTTGGGAAATTAAGTTTTACTTTTGTCTTACATTGTCATTAAAGTCCCTTAATCCAGCTTTTAAATTTAGAAAATAATAAAATATATTCAGGATCTCTTCATCTTAACCTCTATGGCACAAAATATCTGTGTTAAATTAGTCTGGTTGTATATTCTGGTTTAAAAATATGAATTTTAAATACATATAGAATAACTAAGCTTCATTTAGTCTTGTATTTTTTCCAAGAATGTAGGAGACCAACACAGAAGGCAAGTTTCAAGCAGGGGAAAATGTGCAGCTGTGTTGCAGCTTCAATTAACTAGTCAAAATATGAAATGGTCTGCTTTTTGTGAAGCAGGAACCCAATGATATTCAGACCTATAGTATGAATTAGCAGTTGGTGGCATATTGTTCACATTTGATGCATTAAGAAATCCTGGAGCTTTTTTCCTTTATTTTCATTTTTTTATTCTGGAACAAATTAATGTTTCTATCCGGTTGTTTCTCTCAGTGAGGCCTTTAAAATACAGTTTTCCTTCCTTCTATACTACTTGCTGGTATCGAATATAAGGAGATTTTTGTTGGTGTATGAATTAGAACTTTCTCTTCACTAAACATTTTGTCTTTCTCTCATGATAAGCTTTAATTTAAAGTTACATTTAACTATAATATGTAACTCTCTACTTTGCTATCCAAATAGTAAAAACTGGATTATGTGCAGAACAGAACTCAATAGAGCAGGCAGATTGTGGACAGGCCATGTCCAGTCTAAGCCAAGATTGGTCTGAAAGGAAGAGGTGGTAAGATAGTGAAGCCAACAAGTAAGGTGTGGTTGAACAGAAGCACAGCAGAAGCAATGGCAGCATAAAATTAAAAGGAAGAAGGGGGGGGGGAGAGAGTAAGAACAAAAGAGATAAGAAAAGCAAATGCACATACCACAAAGAGGAGAGAAAAAAGGGGTGAGGTGCACCAGCCCTGCCCTATTCATTCCATTAAACTCTTTCATGTTCATTTTAACTAACATTTAGAACGACCTAAATGTTCCAGGATTCTGTTCAACTACACTATAACCTTGCCTGAAACTGTTCAGCTGAACTTCAAGCCACAATATGTTTCTTCCATGCCAAGAACAATATACATTTTCTCCATTTGTAAACACACCGCCACTAGAGACTCAGAATGCACAGGTTATCTATCAAATTCTTAAACAACGTACTACATGTAGATGAAATAGTCATCTACAAGAAAATAGGACATAATAAATAAGATGTAGTAAAGTAGATACTGGTCCATCAGTTAAAAGGAACATATATTGCACTGAAAAGAGAACATATATTATACAATGTGGTATAGAACATGGACATCTGAAGAATGACCCAAATCTCTTCCCTCTCTTTTCTGAATTGATTGCATTTCACATAAATTAAAAGAATTTAATTTACAATGCTCTAATCTGAATTCACCTCAGAATAAACTGGCAATCTAAGGAAAGTTATTTTAAAATGACATTGTTCTTCTACGTAAAATATGCAGTGAAAGTTTTTTTTAAAAAAAATTCACAAATGCAAGATGTCTTTTATGTCAACTTAAACAAATGAAACAAGAAGCTATGCTATTTATATATGCATATAAGCATATATAATAATAAATCTTTATCAAAAAGCAGAACAAAACAAAAGTCATTAGAGGTTCACTATTCGAAAAAAAAGAGCTAGCAGAAATGTATTTTGAGGGGAATAAGGGTTTACCTTGGGACTTCAAAGCCAGTAGCTTGCTTCTTTCCAGATATGGTCATTTTGGTAACTTTTGGCACAATGTCAGAATCTGTTCTGATAGCTTGAGAATCTCTCACTTTTCCTAGCAGAATGAGAAAAAAATAAAACCATAACAATAGAGCAAACTGAGTAGATATCTAGATTGGCCTGCACAATAGATTGAAAACAGATAATACAAAATAGCTTCTTAGAAATTTAGAACAAGAAAAATATATTAGGGTGGACATATTAGATTCTGAGTACATGCTTTCTAATTTGAGATCTTACAAAGATCTACAGAATCCTAGGTCTTGTATGAAATTGGGTAAGTAATGGTGAAATCAATTATCATGCTAATCTGTCTCCACTATGACTTTTCTCTTTCTCTCCTTATTATACAACCCTTTCTACCAGTTCCTTATAGAGATTCTGCTTGGAGGATCTGATCCATAAACAGGAATTAGGTATCAAAAANAATTGAGCACAAAATGGCCCATTTCTTGCTCATTTCTGCCCTCCCCAGCCCTCAGGAGCTCTCTGAAAGCTTCCTACAAGTTCTACACGGCCATTTTGGTGAAGGGGCAGGGTTTCAGGAGGCAAAAAAATGCTGTATTCAGTGTATAAGACGCACCCAGATTTTCAGCCTCTTTTTTGAGGAAAAAAGGTGTGTCTTATACTCCGAAAATACTCTGAAAAATACACTATTTATTTATTTGTTTGTTTGTTTATATTTGCATTCCACCTTTATTATTTTTACAAATAACTCAAGGCAGTGAACATATCTTCCTCCTCTATTTTCTTTGAGTGGCCCAAAGTCACTCAGTTGGCTTTCATGTGTAAGGCAGGATTAGAACTCATAGTCTTCACATTTCTGTGCCTTAACCACTAGACCAAACTGACTCTTTTTTTACCAGGTTCTTAATTGTCAGCTAAGAATTCTTAACATGATATTGCATGTATTTACATTTTTATTTTTTGTATTCCATGTTTTACTTAAGCATTTATTTTTTATTTTATTTTATAATCTTTTGTTTACCTTAAAGCCAGCTTGCTTAAGGAATTGTCCAAGTTTATTAACAATTTCCTGAAATCGTTCCTGTTGCCAATTGACCTATAATATAAACATGATATTTTACTAAGGAATAGAAACATATTTGGACATTACTCTATGAATTGAAAAATGAAATGAAGAGATAATGAAAATAATCTCTTATCAACCAAGAAATATCACAATCATTAAGAACTTCCCCCTTGCTGCTTTCCTTTATCAAATGAAAATGGCAATATAGTAGAAAATTTGATGTGTTAACAATTTAAAATGTATTCAAGTACCAGTTCAATTAAAAATGCATGTGAAGTGGACTAAACATTTCTTAAGGAATGCTATTAATTGCATCTATATAACAACACAGTATGATTACAGTATTCTAGGAGGTTAATTATATCAAGCAATGTCTCATATCAAAGCAAAATTTAAGAACTAGATTTGAATTCTTAATTTTAACAGTATTGCATTAATAACAGTATAACAAAGCAAAAAAACTAATGACACTGAAGAAATTAACAGGCTAGCATCGGTGTGCCTAATCTATCATTGAACAGGAAACGCAAGCAAATACTTTATTAATATATCTGCTTACACCATTTTCTTCTATTTTAGGTTTTAGCTATCTTTTTTCAAAAGATACTATAGATTAACTTCAAAGTGAATATTATCTAAATTTTTTCTCTTCCTCTCTCTGTTCTCTTCATGCTTCTTGGTAAAAATAAGCCTATATTTATAAAAGAAGTTTTTTAAAAAAAATCAAGGCAATACCTGATCCATTTTATTGACTGCAACTGCTAGCTGTGTTACTCCCAATGATCGAACTAAAAGACCATGTTCTCGTGTCTGTCCACCAGTCTCAAAACCAGCTTCAAATTCCCCTCTGCTGGCATCTACCACTAATACAGCCACATCAGCCTAAGGAAAACCACTTGATTAGTTGTATTTCTTGGGTACAGGTTAATCGTACAAAGTCTAGATACATCTAAAATGCTTTTGCCTTTTCTTATTGTTGCCTTATCATAAAGATAGGCTTACTTAAATCACTTCAAATGAAACACAACATTTCTCATTTTGTTGATAGAGTTATAATGTGCAAAAATAACATTACCTAGTATTGGGTAAGAATAATTTATTTCCTCTGATTGTTACAATATAATTTGCATCCATGTTGTAGTATGTACAATATGGGAAATCAAACTGCCAGTGAATACTACAATTCAATCTAAAAGTGCTTTATGTATGACAGATGATACTAGGAAAGGCTTTACCTGGGCAGCTCCTGTGATCATATTTGGAATGAAGTCTTTATGGCCAGGAGCATCCATTAGTGTAATAATTTTTGTTTTTGTCTCAAATTTCGTCATACCTACATCCATTGTCACTCCCCTGCAAATAATGACAAGGCATACGATGGATCCTTTATAATAATATTTAAAATCAATCTGTATATCCTATCTTCTTTTTCTATATATAACTTTTATTATAGATTTTCATAGAAATAAAATGAAATGATATAAAGTAAGATTAAAAGAAAGAAAAAATATGAAAAATATGAAAAGTAAGAAAATATAAAGAAGCAAATTCCAATCTTAGTATCTCGCCTTCTTCTTTAAAGTTACATGTCAACACACTGCTTCCCATATTCAGTTTTTTTAAATCTATAAATCACCAGTTCATTTTTTCCCATTTTCAGCAAAAAGTCTGTAAGAGGTTTCTAGTCTTTCATATATTCATATCTTCTTGAACAACTAGTGTCAACAATATCCCACACAATGTGAGAATTAAAACAGGAGAGTAAATAAAAAATAAAAATATTATTGAAGTAATAGTAGGGCTTTCAACCATCATATTTAAAATCAAAATTACATGATATAGCTATGTTAAGAAAGTTGGTCCAATAAGTGATTATGGTTAGGGGTAAGAGCATATGATATCATAAAACCAATTATAATTGTGATATGAATAAATATTCATTAATCTACCATTTTAGCCTACATGCTACATTATATGAACAAGTTACATACATGCATTATATGAACAAGTTACATACATGCATACATACATACATATATATTTTCTGAGTACACAGTACACAGAAACCTCAAAAACAACTTTGCTGTTACAACTGCTACCACAGCCAATTTTCATGTAAAAGGTTAGTTTTTCTCACCTTTCTCTCTCTTCCCCTGTTTCATCTAAAACCCAGGCATAAGCAAATGAAGCTTTTCCAGCTTTCTTTGATTCTTGCTCGTATTTGTGCATTGTTCGCTTGTTCACATTACCCAGAAGATACAACAAATGACCCATTAAAGTACTTTTTCCTGCATCAACATGTCCTAAAAAGAAACACCACATTATCACTGATTAATTTATTTTAGAAGACATTCTACGCCTGTAACTGAAAAGAGGAACTACATATATTTTTCATTTTTGCACCAAAATAAATATACCTATTACTACAAGGTTAAGCAAATGTTTTCCTCCTTGTCTCTTCTCCAACTCAGCTTTTATATCTAATTGTTGTTTTGATTTTGCAGACTTTTTCACAGGAGTTGGTACCACTGATGAGTCTTCTGATGCTTGAATGGTCTGGGAGGGAAAAGTTGATTTAGGTAGTATCTCAGCTATCCCCATATTTCCAATGGTATCTCCAGCAGAGAATCCTTTTTGTGGTATAAATGTATTATGTCCATTCTCTTCTACATTTGCACTACAAAAAGCAGAGAATGAATGTGAGAATGCACATTTCAAAAGACTACAGATCAAAATAAAATGATCTATATATTTATTTACAATCTCAGATGGAAGAAAAAACAATGACAGTGAATTAACCACTGTGTAAATATTTGGTAAGTTGTTCTATATATAGAATTATGGTGAAAAAGTGTATTACTCTATTGCTTTTCTAAGCTTCAAATAAGAGGCAGAATTATGTGGGCGTTTTTCCCCTTGCCGCTACAAAAAGCATTCAGATAGCATACAAAATTATTCTAACCATACTAAATTATTATTTGATAAATGTCTTCCTCCATTTACCCACTAAGTTTCTTGTCTTGATATGCAGTCTTAGGAAAGATGAACAGCATGTCATGCATTAATTATGTTGCTGTAATGAGTTATATACAGCTGCTTCTGAAGGGACAAGCCTTATGGGGACAGCCCACATGGAGTTCTCATTCATCTCAACCAGATATTTCTTTGTAATAAATATTTTATTCAATTTTCGCATTCCATTTGCAATCATTTATATACAGGGTATTTACTATAAAAAAAAGAAAAAAGGAAAAAAAAAGAAAAAGGAAATAAAACGAACAAGTAAAGAGAAAACACAACTCATCATTCACAACCCCTCCTAACCCTTCCATCCTCCATACCCCCCATCTCCCCCCTCCAACTTTCCTT